CAAATACTACATTAGAGATCAACTTCTTTGTCTCCACCTGCTGAATGAAAGCGGAATGCTCAAAGAGTGGGACCAAGAGGAGTGAGACTCACTGGAAGAAATAAGGATGGACGTCTGGAATCAGGGCGTAGGCCTGATGGGTCGTTTGGGGGACCCTCCCTCACGGTGTCCTGGAGGCAGCATGGTGTAGTGAGAAGAGGATTCTAGAGATGTGGGTTTGGGCTCGGGGTGGTCCACCTGACTTCCTTCTCCTCCCTGTAAAAAGAGAGGGGTTGGATGAGACGCTTACATCCTGTTCCAAGACCCCGTGGCCCCATAAAAGGCCCTTTACCTTTTGTTAGCAGCTCAGAGACGCCAGAGTGGGGCTCCCTCTGTCCACGCTTCCCCACTTCAGCTGGACGGAATCATGATGGCTGCAGGGGCACTGCCGGGGTGAATCCTAGGAGACCCCTCCATTGGGGTCCCATATCCTGTGCCCACGACTGGCCTGCTCCAAGGTGGCCTGTCTGCCCACAGCTGTGTCTCCCACCAGCACAGTTAATTTGCTGCTGTTCCTGGGAAGTGACAGCAACTTAAAGCAAAGTAATTAAGATGAAAAAGAGGCCCAGCTGCTTGGGGCCAAAGGAAAATAAACAGACCAGCCCTGTGTGTATTCCACCGCCAAGAGCAGCAATTCTTCACAGAGTGATTACCACTTCCAACTCCATTCTCCGCCCCTCCACTGAAGGCAGAGAAGTGACCCACCAGCTGCTGCTGCTCCCAGATCCCACTCTTCCCACAGTGTACCTGACGGCCCAGCACCGCCTCATGAAGGTCTCCCAAATTACCTGCCCCCCTACCTCTGCAGAAATGAAATCTACCAGGCCTCAGAATGAAAGTGACATCTAAGCAAAGGCCTGTAGGAAGTGGGGAGTGAGCCAGGCAGCCAAGTGAGGGGGGTGTGCCTGGCAGAGGGACACCGTGCAAAGGCCCTGAGGTGTGCCCCGTGTTCAGTGAGGCTAGGGGGGAGTGGTAAGAGAAGTCAGAGAGGAAATGGACTTTTGCTTTCACTCATGTGAGCAGAGGGGCAACAGGCCTGGCTGGCATTTCATTCTGGCTGCCACGTGAGCAGACTAAAGGGAGGCAAGCAGGGAAGCAGGCCCTGGGTGAAGTGTGAGAAGGTCTGGCTTCTCCTTAAGCTTCTGTCACCAGGCTATATAAGCAGAACAGGATAATTTCCAGGGAGAGAAACCCTTGGGGTGCAGGACATCCAGACACTAACTCTCAGGGTCAAGGAGTGTGTGGGGACAACTGGAGAGAGCTCCTGGGAGTCAGGCTGCAGGGCTGTCATGGAGGTTCAGGAAAATGCTCCTTGCTGTATTGTGCGTGTGCGTGTGCCACATATAAAACTCTCTGGAATGACAGATTTCTCACAGTGGGCCTCTGGGCTGGGACAGAGAGATTTCCTTACCTGCAAACCAGGCACGGTTACAATCCTTGCCAAGCATGTTGGGTTGTGGGAGGAACAATGGAGTCTGACCTTTGAGGCCAGAGAAGACGATGGGCTGAGTTATGAAAACTTCCGAGGGAGTATCTGTGAAAGTGCAAACACCCCCAGGGCCTCAACCAGTCATTAACACTCTTGGGCAGTGGGCCAATAGTCTCCTAGCTAGATCCTAAGGCAGAAGAACCCAGGACAGTTAATTTTCCTATTGGAAGAGGAGGAAAAGGGCTGGGTCCAGGAAAATAGATGAACTATAAGAAGTAGAGGTGCTGAGAGAAGGTAATGGAGAGGAGTGCTAAGGAGACAGGCAGAAACACCCTGTCCATCTTAGAACGTCAGCCAAGCAAGGAGGCCACAACAGAAAATAAGCATGTGGTCCTGGGTTCAAAGCTGGGCTCCGCTACTTCCTAACTATGCCTCTTTCAATCTCATAACCTTTCGGTGTTTTGGGTTATTTTTCTTCCTTCGTCTTTAAGAAGGGAGTAGGAGTGTTGCTGAGATGTCTATTACTTAAAATTCTTACAAAGCTTAAATAAGTCAACTGTAGGAAAGCTGTAAACATCGCATTATTACTATGTACAAAAGACATCCCAGAAAGGGCTGCTCCGGATCAAGGAACAACCAAGTCTCAGGAGCCAGCAGGCCCCATCTGGGCTGGTCCATGCAACCAGCTGCAAAAGCTGACAAACACAAACCTCTGCGGATTGAGAGCAAATGAGCTGATAGATCTTGAGATTGCAAGTCTCAGGATGGTCAGCCCCCGACTGAGCAGAGATCACTATGTTGTTAAGTAGGCAAAAGGAGGACTGCGTGTCCTTTCAATGTCTTTCTGGGCAGAATTGAAGAGCTAAGAGTTACGCAATTCTCTAGGGGAATATACCTTTGTTTTTATAGTTTATTACTGATCAGTGTCCTGATTTTGAGAACTTATATGCTACTATGTGGTTGCATGTACAAATAGGTATATGCATGTATGTGAAGATGCAAAGGATTTTAGTCCAGTAGAGAACCACAAAATTTATGGTTTTATTGCCCTGTAAGACATTAATCAGCTTCATTTCTTACCTTAGCAAACTTATTTCAGTATGTCTTTCCCAACTAAATATACAAATCTCTGTATTTCAAATGCTCCTTTGATAAACCAGCTTTACAATTCCTCTGGTTCCCTTACTAGAGTTAAATAAATCTTGGATAAAAGTTATGCTTTGACAAAACCCCAAAATGAGGACTCTGCCATACTTTGGCATGGGCCAGTGGCTTTGGGCCAGGCAATCTGCCTCTGAGCCTCACATATCTCTTCTGCCACAGGGAGAAGGCACCCACTCCAAGACTGAGGTAGGGCTGCAGTGGGAAGAGGGACATGAAAGGACTTCGCACATCATTCATAGGATGCAAAAGTCAGGATTCATTGTTGTGACTCATCACATTAGGCTACTCCATGGCTAGAAGGTCCCAGGCTTCTGAGGGCTGCATTCTCCAAGGCTTGGGACATAGATCAGGGGAAAGGCAGGTAGGGCAGCTCCGATACTAGACTCCATGTCCAGGAGGTGCCATGCTGATGCTGCATTCTCCACTTGTGATGAGGCCAGGATTTTCCATGGGCCTCGGGTCCTGGAGGATGGAGACCTTTCAGGACCACGCAGAGAAGTCTACCCAGGGGCATGGAAAAGATGGAGGACTGGAGTGGGAATCTGACCAGGAGCCAGGGTGGGGTACTCTAAAGGAGGGACAAGAGTCTTCATCTAACACCAGGTCCCTAACTAGTGGCCTCTATAGCCTGTCAGGACCTCATCATATTATTTTGTAGGTAGGAAAGTGCCCAGCTCAACTGACAGCACTATGGGATCTCTACCCTTACTATCCGTATACTTGTGTGGCTGCACACACACGTGCAAACACACACACAGAGAATGATGTCAGTCAGGGGTCCAGTAAGCAATGTAGGCAGCTAAGGTCAGTAACAGCCAACCCTGCACAGAGGAAGTGAGCACAGAGCCGACAGAAAGAGAAGAAGAGGAAAGGCATTCCAGGCCCAGGGAACAGCAGGAGCAGAGGCTGGAAGACAGAATTAACCTGTAGAATGTGGGGGAAGGTTAAGATGAGGCCATCAGACCTGGCCAGGATTGGCTCATACATTGAGTGACCTGTAATCATGGAAGTTAATAACCCACTGCCCCTGTGGTGGCGGTAAAAAGGGTGTGGACAAGGGCTTCCAACTGGGGTCTCCCCTGCAGAGCCACACCCCATAAGGGGTGTGAGAACCCTTTTTTTCCTCATAGGTCTCACTCCAGGTTCAGTTCAGTTACTGTCTCTATAAGCCAGCCCAGCCTTGCCCCCTCCTGGAATGCCTCCATCCGTAGCTGCTCTGCCTTAAAGCCTGGGCTCACAGAGACTCTTCCCATTTGCTTAAGCCTTCCCCCCATCTCTCCTCTTCTGAGCTCTCCTTGTCTCCACCAGATGAACCTCCCCTTTCAGCAGCTAATTATCCTGCATATCTTCCTCATAGAGTTAGTATACCCTCCTTCCTGGAGTTAGGTCCTTTTCCTCTCCCCATTTTCCTTTGCCCTGATTTCCTCAGTACTTTGTTTTATATATATTGTGTATGGGGGGGGGGGGGTGATGGTGGAAGGCTTTTGTTTGTTTTTGCACTTTGCCTTCAACCCTTTGTGGACCAAGACAAGTACGTGTAAGCCTTTTGTTGTCCTGTAAATGTTCTGTTAAGATGAGTTGTTCTGGATGAAATTCTAAGCTTTGTGGACAACCCCCCCCCCCCCCCCCCCCCCCCATAATAAAAAAAAAATTAGGGCAAGCACTATGCAGGGCCCACAGTAGTTGCCTAATTCTTGCCTAGTGATTGGCAGTTTAACCCACTCCTAGCCATGCTCAATTACTGGCCCATTCACCTACAAGCCTAGATGATAGAAATCCCACCCCCTACCCTTTCCACTGACATTGTGACCCCCAGCTCTCAGAAAAGCTCAAATAATTTGAGGGCTCAAACTCCAGCATTGCTCCCTGAGTTTCTTGGACATGTTCACACCAAAAGACATGAGATTCAGACATAGCAACCAGAGAGAGAAGTTCCCTGCCAAACCAAGGCCAGCCTCGTAGACTCAGCCACAGCTCAGGGAAGACTCAGGAGGTCGTCCCCTCCTAAAGCCCGGCCCAGGAGTCACAGTTCAGGCGTTGTCAAGGCCACAGGCCCCGGAGCACCACGAGGCAGCCTCAGGAGAAAGGTTTGCAAAGAGCCGGGCCGTGGGAAGCCCGCCTTTTCCCTGAGCAGCCGCCAGGTGCTGCCCTCGATGGCATAGAGCAGCGTGAACATGCGGTTGACAGTATAGACGGTGTCGCCGCGTACTACCGCCGTAAAGAGGGCTCCCTTGCTGTTGACAAACTGGCCGGGCAGCGCCGTCCACTGGCCTGTGGCCAGGTTGAGGCAGTCGATGGCGCAGTGCAGGAAGTCATCCGACGGTCCGTTGCGCACCACGTAGAGGCTGTCCCGGTGGGCCACCATGAAGTGGCCGTAGCTCTGCGGGCGCTGCAGGTCGGCCACCGGCAGCCACGCGTCGGTCCGCACCGCGTACTCCACGACAGCCGTGGTATCCGCCGGCCGCCACAGACACACGAAGAGGCGACCGCGCGCCTGGGCGCAGGGGCACGCCGGCAGCCGGCTGCGGCAGGGTCTGCCACGAAGCTCCAGCAGCCCGTGGCCGGGTCGTAGCGCTCCACGGAGCTCATGGCCGTCCTCTGGAACTCGCCCCGATGGCGTAGAGGCGGCCATCGAAGCCGGCCAGCGCGGTGTCGTAGCGCGGCTGGTGCGGGCTGGGAACTCGCACCACGTGCCGGCGTCGGGTCGTAGCAGAAGCCCAGTTCTACACCTCTACTGGCGCCCCCGCACGCCCCCACGATGT